TCTTAATGGGGTTTCAATCCAAAGATGACTTACTGGCTATTCAAAAGCGTAATTAGACCTGTTCTAACATACGCACCGGTAGTCTGGTGGACAGCTATAGATAAAAATTGTAATATCAAAATACTACAGAATGTCTGCAGCGCGATGAGGACAACACCAACTTGGCCAATAGAGACAATTCTATTTGTGCACCCAATAGAAATTCAGATACGGTATGAAGCGGCCGTCGCGGCCTTAAGGCTCAGGGCGACGGACGAGTGGATAATCAAAGGCCACGCTTCATACCATCAAATAATTTTACAGGTAGCAACGGGAGAATCTATGGAAAATTTTGTATCGGACCGGATACCTGAAACTTTTGTAGCTGCCTCATGCTGCCTTAACTCGTGGATCGACGGATTCGTACATAAATGCCGACTGGAAACTGTTGTCATACAGACGGCTCAGTGCTAGGGGAGAGAGCGGGACTGGAACTTTTTATCGAGGATACAAACACCGAAATCTCTTTCCGCTTGCAGGATCGTATTGTGATCGGGCAAGCGGAAAGAGAAATAACATCCAAAACAGTAACTTCAAAAACTGTTTTGGAATGTATAAATTCAATCAACAACTTCTCAACACGGCGTAGTACGTATTATATGGGTACCAGGTCATACGCGAGTTTGGGGTAACGAGATAGCAAATTCTCTCGCCAAAACAGGCAGGGAATTATCAACGATAAAAGTAGACAATCCAGTGCCGCTAAATGCGTCACGTCCAGTGTTAAAGACATGGGCAAAAAACGCCCACATATCCCTATGAAACAATGAGGGCGTTGGGAAAGCCACAAAAATCTTATGGGGCGATTCCGATGAGATAACAACGAAGAACATTTTATTACTAGGTAAAAAGGAGATTAGTGACGTAATAGGCATCTTTACGGTGCACCTGGGCCTACAAGCTCATCTGTACAAGATAGGATGTGCAGAAAACAGCATATGCGGGGCATATGGGGAAGATGACGAAACACTGGAACATTTTCTCTGCCAATGCGCAGCGTTTGCAAATATCAGATACCATACCAGACCTTAATCAGACCATGGTAAATGATATAAGACAGTTAAGGAATTTCATAAAGGCAACTGAATTGCAAATATAACAGAATGTAAACTACCCGCCTTCTTCAAAAAAAAATTAACCTTTAGTCTAGAGCGCACAACAGGCCTATACTGGCTTAAGTGTATGCCCAACAGGGCTTGCGGCGAATTTGCTTCGCACCTCTTTTCAACCTAACCTAACCAATAAAACGCCAAATCAAACACGTAAAAACGCCGGACCGAACTTTTAATACACTATTTGGAAGGAACTTGAAAAAGTTCAAAAAACTTCTAGAAACTACCACTTAAATGAAAATTGTTATATGGAAACTATACGAAGACATGGACCTGCTTACGATTTTTTTTTGTCATAGGCTGTAGTAACTATTACGAACTTTAAATATGAAATTTGTTACAATTCCGGTGAATAATGTCGTCCAAATCATAAAAATACCGAGTATTGGGAGGATGTGGACCTGCACACAAAAATTTTAGTCATAGGCTGTAGTTGTGAACTTTAAATACCCATTATAAACTTTAAATACGACATTTGAAATAATTCCGGTAAATACTGTCGCTAAAATCATGAAAATACAGAATATCAGAAGGTACCGTTATATGGGGGCTATACGAAAACGTGGGTCGACATGTCCCATTTACGAACTTTACCTACCTACTGGTAAACTATGCATGTATGCAAAATTTTAGCCTTCTATCCCAATTCGACGTGCCCTACGGTTTTATTTTAGTCTAGTCTATGCATATGTTTATAATTCCCATAACTGTATCGATTTTATTATTTTTTGGTTTTTAGTTTTAGTTTTTTTTTCCCCAATTTTTTTTTTAGTTTTTATTTCGCATTATGTTTAATTCATTTACTGCTTCATTATTGCAAGGTTTCTTGCCCGTTACTTTATTGCAATCCAACTCCTCTATACGTAGTCCCAGCAAAGATCAGTTACGCACGTAAGTATGCGACTGCGTGATCCACAGTGCTGCAATGCATTTTATATATTGTAGAAGCCGTCCCGTAATTGTATATTGTATTCTTTCAGCCGTCCCGTAATTGTACTTAGCTGGAAACTGTATGGCTTTCGGGTGTATAAGATGAACTCCGTCTCCTGCGAAATTATGGGTATACCCTTAACGCTTTGTCTATAGCAAACTCATCAATTGTGTCTTGAAGAAATGTTCCAATTAAAATACTAAAATGTTGGGTTGTTCGCTCACCGACTCTCAAAACATTAAAAATATCAATAAAAGTCTGGTGTCTGTTGGTGTGTAGCTGGTTGGAGATGTTCTGGCTGTTTGAAAAGGGGTGCTCCTGTTCGTTTTATAGTAGGCAGTTGTAAAAAATCACCGAAAAGTAATACGTTTACTCCTTCAAAAAAACTCATTTTCACAGTTCTATCATGCATATCATTTGATAAGACACCATGGAAATCTCGTCGACAATCAGAAATTCTGTTTGATGCCATTGTTTCCTAATTATTCGCAAATAGTTTCCGGACAGTGGTGACATACCTGTTATACTTTTCTATCGCTTTTTGAAACCTTCGTTTACGTTGTGTTGAAGTTTCTGTTTTATTTAAAGTGTCAACCCCACCAGAGGTCCAATAAAGCCTTGCTTCTTTATTGGACCTCTGGTGGGGTTGACACTTTAAATAAAACAGAAACTTTAACACAACGTAATCGAAGGTTTCAAAAAGCGATGGTGTACAACAAGATGTGCCTGAGTCTCGAGGGAAAAACGCTAACAACATATCATTTTTATCCACCCAAATGCCATACAATTCTCGCCGCGTTTTAACCTTTAGCCTTATCTTGGTTGGTGTACCACTAACGACGTGTCATTTTTAGCCACCCTAACGCCACACAGTCATCAACGCAATACAAAATTTTGACTTGGGTGGTGGATTTAGGCTGGATAAATCAGATACCTAAATTACAGATGTAATTTCTAAATTTAAATCTTATTATTATACGTCATTTAGTGGCTGCGCACATCTTAAATATTGAGGTTGAATAGTGCACTGCATTCTTCTTGTCAAGCCCTTTTATTTGTTACCCACATTAGTGGAATTGATAAAAAATGTTTATAAGCCATTTGGTAGCGGCGGCCATATTAGATTTCAACTTTGCATAGTAAATTGTATTCTGCTTGTTGCGACCTTTCATTGGATATCCATATGGATGGGATTGATAAAACCTACGTTATCCGCCATTTTGTAGCGCCCGCCATCTTGGATTTATAATGATAATGAATAAACATAATTGTATTGTCACCAAAATCCAAATGGTATACAAAATTTCAGATTAATCGGTTCACAGGAAGAGGGTGAAATTTTAATTACTAAATTTGACCCAAGAATAAATAATAAATAAGAGAAACAGGGTGAGCTAAATAAAATCGTTTAATAAAAACGAAATTAGACTTGTGAATACTCACTGAAAATCTGAAGCGAACCTAGATATTTCATAAATATGCTATTTTATTCATCTTTCTGTTGATAATATTTAAAAATGTTAATGTTTTATTTTTTTTCATTTCTAAACATTTACATTTTCTTAATTATTTTATTTTATCATAGTAAAATTAAGAAGTTAAAGTCATTCCAAATAAACATACCCACCGTTGAATTTTCTGTAATATACTTTGTCAAATTTCACTGCATAAAAACTAGGTTTTCATCTTTTAATTGTTTATTTACAATGGATTTTTAAATATTTTTGTGACAAGTATGTGTTTGCATGACTAAACCCTTGATTCTACCATGGATTTTATTTTCAACATGCAATAAAAAAAAACAAGTAAAAAAAGTAAAGCTGTAAGTTCGGCCGGGCCAAACAATAAAATCCGTTAAAATTCTGTTAAAATCTTAAAAATATCGAATGTAGCTGTTATATTAGGGTCTATATGACGACATGGACCTGCCTAGGTAACATTTGTCATAAGCCATTACAATATTATAATTTGAAATCCGAAAAAATCGGTAATAATGAAGCTAAAATCATCAAAATACCGAATATCGGGAGGTACCGTTACATAGGGGCTATACGAAGACGTGAACCTGCACAGAAAATTTTCTGTCTTAGGCAGTAGTATCCATTACGAACTTCAAATATTAAATTTGAAACAAGTTCACGAAAACGTGAACCTGCACAGAAAATTATCTGTCTTATGCAGTAGTATCCATTACGAACTTCAAATATTAAATTTGAAACAATTCTGGTAAATAATAGCTAAAGTCATCAAAATATCGAATATTGGGAGGTACCGTTATATGGGGGCTATACAAAGACGTGGACCGGCACAGACAATTTTCTGTCTTAGGCTGTTGTATACATTACGAACTTCAAATACCAAATTTGAAACAATTCCGGTGAAAAGTGTCGCTAAAATCATCAAAATACCGAATATCGGAAGGTACCGTTATATGGGGGCTATACTAAAACGTGGGCCTACATGGCCCATTTTCAATACCAAAAGTCCTGCAGACATAACATACATGGGGTCTAATATGTATATTTCGAGATGTTCCAAACGGAATGATTAATATACTCTCCATACTATGGTGGAGGGTATAAATATTTATATAAATATATGTAACTTCTAAATTGTAATTGTAAATTCTACGCGTATTTTTAGGGTATTATGAATACACTTTAATAAATAGCTATTAGTTTTTATTTATTTATATTTTACATACATAGATTTAAATAAAAAACTTAAACCAACTTTTTTATTTTTTTTGCTGCCCGGTAAGACGAGCACTCTATTATCATATGTATATATAAAGGCACGTAAATATGTATGTATCAAAAAGTATTTCTTTTGTCAAAACCATGCGCTCTATCGAACTGAGAGAAAATGTTTTTAAGCAACACTACATCTCTCCAAGCTTTCAGTCCAATACGGCACTAGCGTGAGTGCAGTTCACGAGCGAGAAAAACGGTGCTACCAGTGTTTAAGAAGTAAGAGTTATTACAAACATCTCGCTCCAAATAAAAACAAAAACTTTTCAATTTTATTTCGTGGGTTAATGTGTTTGTATATTATTTGGAGTGATAGGTGCACATATACACAACTGCTAAAGTTTCGATTAATCGATTTTTTAATGATAGTGATTTTGTTGTCTTCGTAAAATTTTCAATAAGCTCTTCCAAAAATCTCTATAATTATGGATGTACGAGGCTGATATGTTCTCAGTTTTTATTAGCAAACCCATATGGTGTAAACCTTCACAGAATCTTAACGGGATGTGAATACAGGTGTTGTGTGTGGTACAAAGGAGGAAATTAAAGAAATAAATAAATATGCTAACACACATATTTACTAAAAAACATTCATATGTATGTAAGTATGATATACCTTGGCGATAGGTAAGTAGTACGACCTAGTACAATATATCGCAGTGTTGAGAATTTTTTTTGGTAGTATAACATATTTGAAGATAATATTTCAGTGTTTAAATAAATTTGTTGGCGACGATAAAGTACGTCATCACCATGAACAACGAATATTTCTATGGACACAAAAACATACACATACGAATGCACATACGTCATAAATTTGTTAAAAGAGGTGAATGAATGTACTGTTTTGTTTTCTTAAACTGAATTATTTATTTTATCTAAATTTCAATTGTTTAACAACAATATTTCGACACATAACAATTACATTAGTATGTGCTGTGTCCAAAACAGGTTTTCTTTGCAAAACCAATTATACATATGGACAACTTCTTTGCTTTTTCGAATAAAATCCATGAAGCAAACTAGAGATGTGAGAATTAACACGTCCCACAAATTGTATAAGAGCTCCTCATGAAATTTGCCTTCTTTTGAACCATATGTTCAAAATACTTGATTACATTTTTAGGTATATACAGTTGAATATTGTTTTTTGCCTTGGTAGCTTGGTTATAATCTTATGGCGCTCTTTTAACGTCAAAACATAAATACTATTGGAACCTATTTAAAGCATTTTCAAAATTAAGCTGACATCTAAATTTATATTTTTGACGTTTGTGGGGGATAGATATTTGTATTTAAAAATGGTGTAAAATTTCGATCTTTGAAAATCTTAGAAAAGTGATGCTTTTAAAAAATCATAACAACTAGTTAAATTGCTTATTTTTGAGAGTGTAAGACTTTAGATTGTAATGTTGTAGCCCCAAAGTACAATGAATCAATTTTTATTTGTACGGCTTACACGTCAAATTTGGTTGTATTTGTGTTTAATAATATAAAAATTGCTTATAAAATGTTCAATTCGTATGTATGAGAAATATTAACCCATTTTGTTGCGAAATAAATCATTGAAGATATACAGCTGTATTCTTCTACCATGGTTCACTATCTACCATGGTTTTTCCCACCTAATTTACTAGCAGTTTTCTGCCGATTTTTTCACTTCAAATTTAAGTTTTTTTACAGAGTCTTGTTCATGTTACCAAATTAGATATCGCTGTTTGTATACCGGGAAAAGAATGCTGCGTCTTAGCCGTTGGCGTTTTGAAAAGTTTAACAACCTTATTTCTTTATTAGGAAAAAAAATCCATAAGACACTGTAGTTAAATTGTGTGCCAAAAAATGTATACGTTCTTATATCCATAAAAGGGGAAAATGTTTGTATATTTGTTTGTAATTTATGAACTTGAAAACGCCTGCACAGATTTCCCTGAAAATTTCCAAGTATACCACAACATCGCCTGAAAGTAATATGGGCTATATACATTTTTGTTTCAGTCTCCGAATTCGATTGCGTAACAGAATTTGAAACAAAAATTAATTTGCCAGATTATATTGCAATCGGTTCAGATTTGGATATAGCTCCCATATATATTTTCTCATGTATGTTATGTACCAAACACGATATGTATGTCCGATTGCAAAGAAATTTAGAATTTGGTTACAATAATAAATTTGACAAGTTAATTATTTGAATATGGCTCCCATGTATATTCTCCGCTAATTTCACATATTTGATGCACCAAACACGGTACGTACCTCCAATTTCAATGAAATATGAAAGGTGTGACGGAATTTGGTGTAAAAGTAAATTTTGTCAAATTATATTAAAATCTTTTCAGATTGAGAAAAATCTACACTACAATTTAACTAAGGATACGATTATTACGGGGAAGTATGTTGCTACCGTGAATTCTCTAATAGCAACATAAATGCCACTCAACTTCAAAAGATTGCAATTTCCTGAACGCTTGGCATTTGCTATCAAATTAATAAATCCGAAGGACAAACCCTTCGTGTATGCGAACTAAATGTAGCATGTTCCTGCTTTCCTTCCTGGCATGTTCACGCGTTGGTAGACCGAGCTAAATGTTTGTTTACGCTTTACAGTATTACAATAATTACGTTTTTTAAATGTTTTATTTATTTATTTTTTTAACCAACAAATATTCATATATAAAATTTTGAATGCATATAAAATAAATGCGAATCGCACCGGGTACAGCTAGTCTACACCTATAAAAGAGGAAAATGTTTGTACGATCGTTTGTTGTTTATAGACTCAACAAGTAAAACAGCAGTAAGAACTTTGAATACCCTCCACCATTTGGAACGAATTAGGACACTTTCAAAAAATAAAAATAAAATCCATTAAAAATTCTGTTAAAATCTCGGAAGGTGCCGATATATGGGGGGATAAACAATATTGTGGACCTATATAGACAAATCTATGTCTAGGGATAAATTACACACAAATAACTCCTTGTGTAGAATTTAAGAAAATTCCGTTAAAAATGTGCCTAAAATCATCAAAATACCGAATATCGGCGGGCACCGTTATATGGAGGATATACGATCTCGTGGATCTATATAGATAATTCTCAGCCAAGGGATATAGTACTCACAAAGAACTCCTTGTGTAGAATTTCAGACAATTACATTGAAAAATGTTGCTAAAATCATCAAAATACCGAATATCGGGGGGTACCGTTATATGGGGGATATACGATATCATGGACCTATATAAAGAACTCCCTGTGAGGGGGTAAAGTATATATAGTACTCACAAAGAACTCCTTGTGTGGATTTTTATACAATTCCATTAGAAAATGTGGCTAAAATCGTTATATGGGGGCTATACGATATCGTGGACCTATATAGATAATTCTCTTTCAGGAGGTAAGGTGCTCTCAGAGTACTGCTTGTGTGGATTTTCATACAATTCCATTGAAAAAATGTGGCTAAAATCATCAAAATACCAGATATCGGGGGAACCGTTATATGGGGTACCCCCGACATTCGGTATTTTGATGATGTTAGCCACATTTTTCAACGGAATTGTCTGAAAATCCACACATGGAGTTCCTTGTGGGTACTTTATACCTCGGCAGAGAATTATCTATATAGGTCCACGATATTGTATAGCCCCATATAATGGTTCCCCCGATATTTGGTATTTTGATGATTTTATCCACATTTTTCAATGGAATTGTCTGAAATTCCACACAAGTAGTTCCATGTGAGTACTTCACCACCTGAGAGAGAATTGTCTATACAGGTCCACGATATCGTATATCCCCCATATATCGGTACCCCACGATATTCGGTATTTTGATGATTTTACCCACATTTTTCAACGGAATTGTCTGAAAATCCACACAAGGAGTTCCTTGTGGGTACTTTATACCTCGGCAGAGAATTATCTATATAGGTTCACGTTACCGTATATCCCCCATATAACTGTACCCCCGATATTCGGTATTTTGATGATGTTAGCCAAATTTTTCAATGGAATTGTCTTAAAATCCACACAAGTAGTTCCATGTGAGTACTTCACCACCAGAGAGAGAATTGTCTATACAGGTCCACGATATCGTATATCCTCCATATAACGGTACCCCCCGATATTCGGTATTTTGATGATTTTACCCACATTTTTTATCGGAATTGTCTGAAAATCCATACAAGGAGTTCCTTGTGGGTACTTTATATCTCGACAGAGAATTATCTATATAGGTCCACGATATCGTATAGCCCTTATATAGCGGTATTTTGATGTTTTTAGCCATATTTTTCAATGGGGCACTTTACCACCCGACAGAGAATTCTCTATATAGGTTAACGATAACGTATAGCCCCCATATAATGGTACCCCGCGATATTCGGTATTTTGATGATTTTAGCCACATTTTCCAATCGTATTGTCTGAAAATCCACACAAAGAGTTCTTTGTGAGCACTTTACCCCTGAAACGGAATTGTCGGTATAGGTCCACGATATCATATATCCCCCATATAACGGTACCCCGCGATATTCGGTATTTTGATGATTTTAGCCACATTTTCCAATCGTATTGTCTGAAATTCCACACAAGGGGTTCTTTGTGAGCACTTTATCCCCTGAAATAGAGTTCTCTATATAGGTTAACGATATCGTATAGCCCCCATATAACGGTACCCCCTTTATTCGGTATTTTGATGATTTTAGCTATATATTCCAATGGTATTCTCTGAAAATCCACACAAGGATTTCTTTGTGAGCACTTTAACCCCTGAAAGTTATTTGTCTATATAGGTCCACAATATCGTATATCCCTTATATAACAGTACCCCCGATATTCGGAATTTTGATGATTTTAGCCACATTTCCCAATGGAATTATCTGAAAATCCACACAAAGAGTTCCTTGTGAGTACTTTACCCCCAGACATAGATTTGTCTATATAGGTCCACAATAGCGTATATCCCCCCATATATCGGCACCTTCCGGTATTAGGCATTTTAAAGATTTTAACAGAATTTTCAATGCATTTTATTTTTTGGAATATTTTCTAATTCGTTCCAAATGGTGGAGGGTATTCAAAGTTCGGCCCGGCCGAACTTACTGCTTTTTTACTTGTTATTTTTTAACACAATTCTGTAATTGGGAAAAACCCGTGAAACGAGGATTGGAATTTTGGGATTTTCCACAAGATTGAATCAAAACTAGTAGGACAATACATTTGTGTCACAAAATTGTACATTTTGTTACCCATTTGTCTAAAATTTACATTTATTTTGTAACCAAATTTGAAATAATTTAAGATTATTGTATTTTTTATTCAAAACAGAATAAGGCACAAAAAGAAAAAAATTGTATCTATGGGGTAGCTTTGTTCTACCTTTAGTAATTATGCCATGGACATATCTATTGATCGACCATAGATATAGTTTTCAAATTTGGAGTGAGTAACGGAATTTGGAGCAACAATAATTTAATCAAATTATATTGAAATCGGTTCAGATTTGGATATAGCTCCCATATATATTTTCGGCCGATTTCACATATCTGATGCACCAAACACGATATGTTTGGCCGTTTCCAATGAAATTCGGACAGAGAGAC